GTGGACAAATCTCTAGGGATTAAGAGACACCAGAAAAACAGGAAGAACTAAGGAGAATAGAGACTTGCACCTCATCAATAAGTCTGCAGTTCTCCACAGTTAACAGACTCACTGAAGGCACCACCTGAAAACAGGCAGTATAACAGAGCTATCTTTGAGGTGCCCCCCTCCCCAGCTGTGTCTAACAAGTTAGTTCTTTGAAGGGCACAAAGAGAAGAAAGAAGAAGAAGCAAAGGAGAGGCACAAGAAAATTCAGGAAAGGGATGTCACAGATTCTTTGGTAGAAAAAGCAAACGGAGAGATACAAAATAGGGAAGTAGCAAGAAGGAGAAAGGATGGGAAGTCCTGAATGTGGGGTGGCATGAGGTGGGCTGAAGGTGTGATGTGCAACCACAGAAGAAAGGGATGGAAGTAGCACAGAGGGAACATGTGGAGGGAAAGGCAAGAAGAGATCAGGAAAGCAGGAATTCTCTGACGTACGTTGGAAAGGCAGCCTGCTAACTTGGATGAGATCAGTAACGAGGCGCCTGGGATTAGGTACAGAGAACAGAAGTGACATCAGCATTGCTTACCAGGCACATTTGGTATTCAAGGCGCTTCCGAGCATCTTCACTGGGTTTCTTCTTACGGAAGAAGAGTGGCATCTTGAGTTGTGACTACAGCTCCGTCTGAGTGGTACAAAGTATCAGCATAAATAAAGGCAGATGGCTCTTGGAGCGTGTGGAACCTGGACTACAGAACTGTGCTCTAATAAGAAAAACAAAAAAAAGAAGAAAAAAAAAATCACTGCTGCAACAATTGTCTTCGGTTAGGCCTTCCTTTGTCTTGATCAAACAGAGCCCATCACACCTCTGCAGCCGAAATGTCAACGTGAGTCTTGAAAGCACTGTGGAACTTCTGAGACAGGCAGACTGTCCTGTCATTCCTGTGCAGGATGCAAGGCCAGCTGAAACACGTACAGACAGGAAAACACAGGATCCAATCAAGGACAGGAATTAAGAAGGCGGTGCCAAGAAAGCAAGCACTGGGACAAAACCAAACTACTCAAACGATTAACTCTAGCACCATAATGAGCAACTGCAAAATCCTACAGAGTAAATCTAGGCTGGAAATGAGACAATTCCTAATTTGAGAGCGTCCACCTTGCAGAGCAAGAGAAACAGGCAGGACTGATGCAGATCAGAACACAGAGGACTTGGAAGGGGACTTTGCAATTGCTGCACTCTGGCAGTCACACAGCCCATGTCAGCTGCTTTCAGGGACACCAGATAGACTCAGGGTCAGGGTATCCAACCTCAGCTTGCTTTGCTTCTCAGCTCCACTGTAACAGGTCATGGCCTCGAATTTTAGGGCAGGGATTATCTTGAAGTAAGCAAACACTTGGTTCACTGGCATTTCAGGCAGAAACTGCTGCACAGCAATGCTTTTCCTATTTTAGTCACCTAGTGAGGCAAAGGGATTCTGCTTTAACACCTATTAACTTAAAGTTAGGTTTTAAATACGTTTAGAAAACCAACCTATTTTCCAAACACCAAATTACTGCCCACAGAGCCAAAATAACCTCCCTGCTGAGAAATTTCAATAAGTTCAGACTTAAATACCCAAATCAGGAGTTGGGCAAATCCTTGTGGGTCTCTTCCAACTTGGGAGATTCCACGACCCTGAGAAATGCTCACTGTGGCCCACTCTGCTCTCCCTCTGTGTAACACCCACTGCTCACCACGGAGTCATCACTCACCAGCCAAGGCAAGCCAGGAGGAGAGGCCAGAGTGAAAATGAAGACGGTTAAGCAAGAAGGGAAATTCATGATCAGGAATTAGTTAAGAAATTCAGTAACACATAACAAGGAGCCTCGAACACAGGTCAAACATCACAGACAGGAGTAAAAGGGGACTTAAAAGATAAGAAACAAGAGAAGGATGCTTGCAGCAAAGCAATGATAACACTGATGACCTTAAGCACTGCTTTATTCCTTCTTAGCTATCTCTGTTACGGCCACGTACCTTCCATCAGTCGTGTGGACAGCAGACAGTTCAGTTTTCACCCCAAAACTGCAAAAGCTGAAGGACAGGCGGCTGAATAGAGAAAGAAACGTGTCAGGGCTGCGAGGAGAAACGATCAGGAGCCATCTGCAGCGGGCCGGGCACCTGCAAACCTGCATCCCGGCGGACCCCGCATCCTGGCAGACCCCGCAGACCCTGGGGTGCTCAGCTGACTGAGGAGCACCCACCGCAACGCGCCCAGCTGCAGCTCAACGAGACCCCCCGCCCCTCCTGTCAGCCACCACAGCGGCCGGCAGCCTCACCACCGCCACCGGCCCCAACGCGACAGAAGCGGCAGCAAATCCCCTTCCGGCTCCGCGCCGCCCAGCCCCCTCCTCAACCCGGCCGCGCTCACCGCAGCCCGCTGCCATGACGCCCTGTCCCGGGGCCTCCGCATCACAGACGCGAAAGGCCAGAGCGCCCCCCTCCCACACCATAGAGTTCCCAGTAAGCGAGGGAGAAAGGGGCGGATCCCAAGCTCTCGCGAGATCTCGGTGCCTATATATATTTCCCGCGCAGCGCCTACTGCCTTTCCACCACCGGCTAGGCCGCGGTTTTTAGGATCCGCCGTCATCCGCGCCGCCCGCCGCCGCCATGCCGCCCAAGTTCGATCCGACCGAGGTGAAAGTCGGTACGTGTTGGGCTTGGGGGGACGGCGGGGCGCTGGGGGAGCGGGGATGGCGGTGTGGAGCTGACTGAGCGTTGCTGTGTCCGTAGTGTACCTGCGCTGCACCGGCGGGGAAGTCGGCGCCACTTCCGCCCTGGCCCCCAAGATCGGACCGCTCGGGTTGGTACGTGGGGCTGCGGGGTCGGGCGGGGGGTGCGGGGCCGGTCCCGGTGCGGTGCGTGGCTCTTTGCCTTCATTCATGCGAGGTTTTTCTGACTGTAATACGTGTGTTCTTCTCAGTCTCCCAAAAAGGTCGGTGATGACATCGCCAAGGCTACGGGGGACTGGAAGGGGCTGAGGATCACGGTGAAGCTCACCATCCAGAACAGGCAAGCGCAGGTACTGAACGCCACGAGGGATCGCGCTGTGGCGCAAGCGCTGGGCGCAGCAGGCGCTGCTTGCCGCAACCACAGCAGCCAATCCCGGCAGGGTCGACTCAGCCCTTCATCCTTCCGAGGTGGATAAAATGAGTGCCACACTTGGTGTGGGGTCTTCTGGGAAGACCTGGGTAGGAAGTGCCCGATTCTTCTGAGTGCAGTGTGTGTGAAGTGTGGGGCTGGAAAACAAGGGGGCATGGGGGTCTGAATGAAGCCCTTCGGAGCCGGTCTGCAGCCATCTGCCACTATACCTGCCTTGAATTCAGTGGCTAGTATATTCCAGTGGTGAGCTGAGAGCAGCCCCAGCCCAGGAAGCAGTGCTCTTCTGGCTGTGGGGAGTCCTGTGCCGAAAGGCTGGGAACAAAGTCCTGTGCTTCAGGAGGAGGCATGTAATGGGGAACAGAAAACTAAGTCCAGGCTTTGTGTTATCTGCATGCTTGGGTGGTGTGGAAAAGAATGAATCTCTTCTTATTTAGATAGAAGTGGTTCCTTCTGCCTCTGCTCTGATTATCAAAGCTCTGAAGGAGCCCCCCCGTGACAGGAAGAAGCAGAAAAACAGTAAGTGTTGTTCCACCTTTGGTTCTCAATGTCATTTAGTACTGAAAAAGAACACGTACCTCATGGCTGCTTAGCATAAACTGGCAGGGGGCTTCTGGGGCAGCAGGATTTCCTGAAGTGTAGCACACAGACAGTGCATACATCTTCAAAGTGAGCAGAACAGCCACCCGCCACTGTACCTGTCTTGTAATGCAGTGACTTGTATAGTCCAGAGGTGAGCTGAGAGAAAATGCCAACCTAGGAAACAGAGTTATTCTTTTTCTTGTGGGTAACTCTGTGCCGAAGGCTGGGAACAGCAGCACTGATCACAGCCCCAGTGTAGCTGTAACCTCACTGCTCTCTGTGATCTGAGTGCCAGGAATGGCGTTTTTCTGTTGGAGCATGGGGAGCTGGAAGTGCACTGTGCTTCAGTGAGCTTACTGGTGCTGTTGTTTTGCTTCACAGTAAAGCACAGTGGCAGTGTCAGCTTTGATGAGATAGTGAACATCGCTCGGCAGATGAGGCACAGGTCTCTGGCTCGAGAGCTGTCTGGTGAGTACTGACCTTAAGGGGTGGGACTGAGTCTTGCTGTGTGATCTGAGTGGCTCAGGCTCTTGGCTGATCCTTGGGACAATCTAATAACTGGTGTGGTGAAGTTCCTACAGCTTGTATGTGCTGACACTGAACAGGTGGCTGTAGCAACACACGAACAACCTGGTGCTGCCAGGAGCCAGCATCTCACTGCCTGGCAGTGCTAGCTGCAAGGTCTGAGTGCATGGTAGGGCTTAACTCAGGGATCCTGACCTGCCTGTAGTACCTGCTGTCATAATATGGGGCTGAGTAGCACCCTAGGCACTGAGCGTGTAGCAGACAGTGCTTTCTGGAGCTTTCTGTGAGCAGTACCCTCTAGCTGGCTTAGGCTGTGTGCTGCCCCTTCTAAACCAGGTGGCTGCAGCCTGCAGACCACCAGGTAGCTGGCATGGGAGGGCTGAGGCATTTAGGAATTGGGCTATATAATGGTTCTTCAGGTTTTTTTTCTGTGCTGAAGCTGTGTTTTCCAACTGCAGGGACAATTAAGGAGATTCTTGGAACTGCTCAGTCTGTGGGCTGCAGCATTGATGGCAGGCACCCTCATGATATCATTGATGACATCAACAGTGGTGCAATTGAGTGCCCAGCTGTACGTATCCATCTCTAACTGAAACTGCTGTAATTAAACTATTTACTAAAGGGCTCTCTACTAATGAGCTATATTTTTTTTTCTCTCAACAGAGCTAAGTGTGGAAAAGGAGTTGCCATATGAAGGTTCTTACATCTTCTGTAACACCTTAAATACTTAATAAAACACCAGGCTGTCTGTAAGCAGTGTCACTGATATATTTTTTTGTCCTTGTCCAGTTCTGTGTAAGTGGGCTCTGCCTGCCCTGTGCAGAAGTACCAAGGTGATGGTTCCTGTCCAGATGTTAAAGATGAAGGATTCTCATGATGATTGCTTGCTGTGATGCAGAGCTTAGAGAAGTATGTGCATGTCCCATGTGCAGAGGGCAAACACCTCTGACTTCTGTGGAGAGCTTTCTGTGAGCTCTTGTCAATGCTGGATTTGCACACGGCTCTGACTGCCCTTCACTGGGGTAAGTGCTTCTGTAGGAGGTCAGCTTCCCCAGGTCAGTACAGCCGGGGCTGCTGTGGTGTCCCAGCAGCTGCCAAGGCTTGGAAATAACTGGGCTACCTGCCTCTGGGAGGAGCTGCATGTGCTCTGATGGCACTGATAGAAATAAAATGCTGGATAGGGCTGTATGTCCAGGTCTGTCCTCAAGTCTGCAGCATTTGTGCCTGATGGGATGGAGCTTGGCCCTGTTTACCCAGCTGTGGGAACATCTGGCTTAGGTGGCAGTGTGGGTTTCTCTGGTGTAGGTTCTTTGCTCAGGCTTTTCTCATGCTTTCAGTCAGAGGAGATGGGGGTTTTCTGGTGACTAGAAAAAATACAGACGACTCAGATTGAGGTGAACTCCTGTGCATCTTTCATTACTGAAGGGGAGCAAATCCTGATTTAGGGGTGGAATTCTGTAGTCCGGCTCAGAGCGTTGCAAAGGGTCCGGTTTCGTGTCTCTTTGGCCTCCTGACTCCTTGGATGGTGATGCTGGGGGAGCTGGGTAAGCAAGCTTGATAGCCCATGTCTACATCATATGCTCCAGGTCCTGGTGTCTCTGAAATTTAAAAAAAATAATAAAAAAAAAAAGCAGTTTGTGTTGGTAGTGTTGGTACTTCCCTTTGGGTGCTGTAAAAATCAGGTGCCACCTTAGCAGGCTGCTCCAAACCATCTGATGAAGTGTTAAGAACCTCTTCCAAACTCGGCTATAACAACATAACCAACCTCTAATGAAGAGGTGCTTCGTGTTTTAGGCTTGATGCATGTTATACGAGACAGGGTTTGATGCTTGGTGCTCACACCTGAAAGCAATGTGGAGCTGTTAACTGAGGTACTGCTGCAGGATGTGGGTAAAAGCAATGTTCTTGAAGTTCCTGGGAAGCATTGTTCTATCCAGCAGGGACAGGGCTCTCCTTTGGAGTGGCACAGCACCAAGGATGCTGTGTGACCTCTCAGGCTGCACAAAACTGAAGTGGAATAATCCTGGTGATAAGAATGCTTTGGCTGACACTGGTGTTGCTAAGCCTGGCTAACAATGGTGTTATGAGTGCAGTTCACTGCAACCCCACCAGCACCCTGGGGTGGGGAGGAGCCTTCTCAATGTACAGCTAGTTTTCTGAAGGGAAAGGGAAGGAAATTCTTCCCGAGATCCTGAACACTGTGGGCCTTGGTCTCAGGAAAGATTTTTGGAAGGTGTGCTTTCCTCCTCTACAAATGCAGTGATGGTACTCAATGAGTTGATTTTTTTTTTTTTTTTTAAATTGTCTTTTCACTTCAGCAAGCAACACAGTTATCCAGCACTTACAGCACAAGAGAGACTTTCTGGATGGAGCTCTGCTACAGCAAACAGGACTGTATATGGTGGTATGTATTGTAACTGTGGGAAATGGTGGCAAACTGGTGCATCTGGCAATGAATGTAGAGGATACTTCAGCTGGGCTGCTCAAAATCACCAAATGGGGCTCTGACTGTTTACCGGGATCTGAGTCCTTTGGGAAAAAGTCAGAGTGGCAGGAGGGAGCTGGCTGTGCTGGGGCATCGGCTGCAGCTGCATCGTGCTCCTGGTGCTGAGTGACTTGGAGTCTCTGCATAATGGAGGAAAAGTTAGGCCCCCAAATAAATCCCAGCCCAAGCTCAGTGTGAGAAAATGTGGTGGCAGCTACTGTGCAGTGTGTGCTGAGCTGTGGCTGTTGGTTGCTGGAGTAGTGCAAGCAGCATCAATTCCCGCTAGGCAAAGCACCACACAATTCCTAAGTAGCTGTTTGAGGCTACTTAGATGCAGAGCAATGTGGAGAAATCAAATCTTTGTAACTGCTCCAGCTTAAGCCAGAAGTGTGGCTTTTGGCTACAGTGCCTGAGTGCACGGCAGTCATGCACCCCGTCCATCCCTGGAGGGGTTCAAGGCCAGGTTGGATGGGGCCCTGGGCAGCCTGGGCTGCTCTGAAATGTGGAGGTTGGTGGCCCTGTGTGCAGCAGGGGGTTGGAGCTTCGTGATCCTTGAGGTCCCTTCCAACCCTGGCCATTCTGTGACCTTTTCCACCTGAGATGCTCAAATAGCAGCAGTGCTGTAATTTTACGCTGGGCTCAGGGGCAGAAGTGGAATGCACAGCAGCAATGAGGGAGCTGCCAGGATCTCTGGATGAAGGCTGGGCTGTGTGGGAGGGCAGGAGGGATTTGGGCTGACCGATGTGTCTGCGGTTTCTGAGAATATCCAGGCTGGTCCGCTGCTGCCTGATGAAATGTGGGTACATCGCTCCGGTGAGCTGAGGGCTGCAGATAGTGCATGTGGGCTGCAGTGAAATGGAGAAAGGCAGAACACAAAATTAGCTTCTGTCACTTCAAATAGCAGCAGCAGACATCAGCTTTTATCACACATTCCAACTCTATCAGTCTGCAAGACCTCATGCAGCCTCGTCAGCAGCTGCGGGAGCTCCCCTGCTTTCTGCTTCCCTTTGCTCCCTCTTCAGCTGTTTGTAGGGCCTTTCTCTGAGACAATGAGAGAATCAGGGAATAAAGCTGGATAAAGCAAGACTGTCATCCCAGGCACTTGTTATTTTTATAATTCTCTAGCTTGGAGGTTCCAAAGCAAGGATGCATGGCCTTGGTGTTTTCTCAAGTGAGGTTTGCTTTTGATCCAGCACATTCCTCACCTCTCCAAGAACACAACAACAAAATCCTGGTTTGGTGTAAGGAAAAACGTCTCCAAGTGGCCCTAGACTGCAGTGGGGACTGGAATGCTGGTGAGACCTCCTGGGCCCTGGGGAAGCTCCATTGGCCAGGCTGGCTGTGTGCTCAGTGGTCAGCTGGTTCCTTTCCAGCTGAGCTTTGCAGCAATCCCACCACCAAGCTGCACTAATGCTGGCGTTGCTGACAGTGAAGGCAGTCTGGCGGAGGTGAGCAGCACATCTTTCAGAAGCAATTTTAGTTTAAGAGCTTTAAAGTAATCGCTAACCTTGGCATTAGCAGAGCCCCTGCTGCTGTGAGCTTGGAAGCACCCTGCGTTGCACAGCATCCCTGCATGCGTGTGCTGTGGACTCTCCCCACTTGACAGTGCATGAAATAATGGGGGAAGAAAAAAAATGTACTTTGCGTAAGGGCAACTATCCTGGGGTCAAGATAGGACCTTTCCCATGCTGCCTTAGGACAGCTCCAGCAGGAGCCCCGCAGCTCTGGGAAGCTGCCGATCTGGTCCCCCTCTGCCAGAAATTTTTTCCCACCCAGGCATCCTAGAAGGGAACTGACGCAGCCAGTATCGACCTACATCAGCTCCGTGTTTGAACTCCATCCTCCTGATCGCTGGCTCTGCGCTCGGCCACCACGGTTTCTTTCCGCTGCAGCGTGCCGCATCTGCACGAGGAAGGACGGAAGTGGCACACAGGGGGGCCGAGCGCCTCCCAGGACGCGGCTGTGCCGTTCCGCGCTCCCGGAGGCGACCGCGCGGGCACCGCCGTCCGCCATTTACCCATGTTTCCGATTTGGACAACGCCTTCACGGCCGAACACGCGGAATTTGACGGCAGCAGCACCGGCCCTTCGGCGCCGGGTCTCCGTCGGAGCACGGCGGTACGGAACGACGCCGAAGCGCGCGGAGCGGCGCCGGGACAGCGCGTCAGGAGCGCCTGCACGGCACGGAAGCGGAGGGGCGGCGGAGAGCGCTCCCGGAACGCAGCAGCCCCGAGCTGCGCGAGTCCGTCTGTCCGTCCGCTCCAGTTCCTATAGAACCCCTGGACATCCCGCCCCGGTCTGGGACCGGGCCGCTGCCAGGCCTTCGAGGCTGGCGCTGCGCCCCCACCGCGGCCACGTTACGGTTTATCGATGGCTACGCGTGTAACGCAGCGCCCCGCCAGGCTCAGGCCCGCTCCCACGCCGCCCCTCCCCGCCCGCCAGTGCAGGCGGCACAAAGCTTCCCGCGAACGTGACGTCACCGCCCGCTCCTCCCTCCCCCCGCCCCCTCCCGCGCCCGAACCCGCGCCCGCGCGCGCCCCCTTCCATCTTCCTCCCGCCCTCCTTTCCCACGTGACTCCGCGCCGCGCCGCCCTGCCATTGGCCGCGCCGGCGGCGTAGTAAGAGCGACGCGGCGAGGGCGCGGGCCGCCATTGGCCGGCGGGCGGCGGGTGGGAGGTGGTGCGGCGCCCCGCCCCCCTCCCCGGGTGTGCGCGAGGCGGCGGCGCGTGGCAGCGGCTCCCGCTCGCGGGCTCCGAGGCGCTGAGCGCGGGCCCGGCGCGGCCCGGCCATGACGGACTTCAAGCTGGGCATCGTGCGGCTCGGCCGCGTGGCCGGCAAGGTGCGGGCTCCGGGGGAGCGGACGGACCGACGGACGGAGGGAGGGGGGGCGCGGCCGGGAGCCGCGGGCCGGGCTCGGCCGCACGGAGCGGGCGGCGGGCGGCGGGCGGAGCGCGGGACGGCGGGCGCGGGGCGGCGGCTGAGCGCCGTGCTGTGTTGCAGACCAAGTACACGCTGATCGACGAGCAGGACATCCCGCTGGTGGAGAGCTTCTCCTTCGAGGTGAGCGCCGCGCGGCCCCCCAGGACCGAACCCCTCGGGAGCCGCTCCTCCCCCCTTCTGGGCCCGCGGCCCCGCGCCCCGTCCCCGCGCCCCGTCCCCGCACCCCGTCCCCGCACCCCGCCCCGCCCGGAGCGCTCCGGAGCTCCGTCCTCCTTCACGCGGCCGTCCCCGCGCCGCGCTGCCGGCCTGCCGCCCCTGCGCGCTGCCGGCCAGGAACGGCGCTCCCCCTGTTGGAGCGGGGAAAGTTGAGAGGTGTTCCCTCCGCACGTGGGTGCGGAAACGTCCCCTGAGCGGAGTCGCACCCCGAGGTTTGCTGTTACCGCCCGCGCCCCTGGGGCTGGGAAGGCCGAGGGATGCCCGGGCTGTGCTGCGCGCGGAGCTCCCGGCGCCGCGTTGTTCCCTCTGCGCGGCCCTGCTGACAATAGCGAGGGCCCACGTGCGGCGCCGCGTCCTACGAGGAGAGGTGGGGGCTGTGGGAGTGGGGCCGGGGCGGTGCAGGGGCCTTCGGTACTTCCACTGTGGGGTGGGGTGAGAGGAGATCTGGGTCAGATGGGGAGGAAACCCCTCCCTCAGAGGGCCGTGAGGCCCCAGCGCCGCTGCCCAGAGCTGCGGGTGCCCGTCCCCGAGTGCCCAAGGCCGTGGATGGGCCCTAAGCAAACTGACCCGGGGGGGGGGGTTGGGGTCCCTCCCAACCCAAGATGCAGCAGTAGAGGCTCAGTCGCGCTGGAGATTTGAACCATGATTCCATGGCAATTCAGCGTCCTGCAGACATGTGGGAAGTGCTGCCTGCCTTTACCACTGCTGTCCCATTGCAGCTCACACTCTGCCGCTCAGCACCCGTTGTTCTTACAATCTTCCCCTTCTCTCCAGGCTCGCATGGAGGTGGATGCTGATGGAAATGGTGCTAAAATATTTGCTTATGCTTTTGACAAAAACCGTGGAAGGGGATCTGGCCGCCTGCTGCACGAGCTGCTCTGGTGGGTATCCCATGGAGCCCGGGGCTGCTGCTGCTGCCCACAGCATTTGGGGCCTCTCAGGGAGTCCCAGCCTCAGCCAGAGCCCAGCACAGCAGTGCTGCTGTGTCCTGGCCTGGGTCTGTTTTGCACTGTGCCTTGAAATAGCTGAGGCTCCAATAACTTTATTTGCACGGAAAGTAGTGACAGGTGAGTACTGTGTTGCTTAAATCTGAGAAATACGACTGAAACTTTACTTGGGGCTTCTGTGCTGTGATGAGCAGGTAAGTGAGAAGTGGCAGAGTGTGGATAGAACATCTGATAGCCTGAAACTTCAGGGATTTTGCTTGGCTTTCTGGAGCGCTGCCTGAAGGGTGTGCTGCTGTTTCCTATACTGTTGTGTCTGCTCCCCACAGGCAGGGAGCATTGCCTGAAATTCTTTGTAGCTGCCATTAGGACTCAGAGCCCTGTGTGCATGGTTGCCAGCAACCTGTTGTTAGAGGCACTTTGCAAATGTGTTTTTCATGGATTTGTAGGAAAGATGGGATATGTTGAAGAGAATCATTATTTATTTTTAAAAGTCTTTAAGAAATTAAACATGCTTTCTGTTCAGTCCAGTAAACTGTAATGAGAAGTCACAGTGCCTAAGATCTCACTGTACTTTCTTCATTGCTTGAAGTTACTTGTTCTCCCCCGGCTCAGAGCCTGGATGAGAGGAGGGAGTCAGGAAAAGCTCCAGGCACTATTACTATTATTTTCAATCTGCTCATTAAATATGGATTTTAACCTGCTTCTGTTATTGTTTAATCTCACAGTACACAACTTTGGAAGTGAGTCACAAGTTGGCTGCGCCGCACGGTGTGAGTCGGGCTGTCAGCCCCTGCTCACTGTGCACCTCACAGCAGGACCTGCAGTGCTTGCATTGCTCCAGCGTGCGCAGGGCTTTGCACACAGCTCAGCCATTGCCTCTCTCATTAGCTGGACTTCTTAGGAAACAAATCTAACATTCAGTTGGGTAACTCACATTGTGTGAGTTCACCGTATGCTGGTGTCAAACCCCCGAGGTTCTGCGTGATGGGGATTTTTGGAGGCTGTGAGCTGTCCTGAATGCAGATCTGCATGTCTGGAGATGCAGTCAGGTTCTTTGGGAAGCACTCAGCATTTCTACTGTTCTGTAAAGTTGGTTTGATCCCTCTGAAGGCGTGATTTGCTGTGGCCTTAAATTACATGCTACCACGAGGCTGCTTTGTTTGCCTTGCTGCCTGAGTCTCCTTGTATCTCTGGGAAGCCTCTTGGCTGCAGATGCTGTGTAGTGCTGGCCCCGCTGTCAGCACACCGTTCTGCTCTCCTTGTGCTGCAGCTGTTCTGAAAAGAAACCTGCAGTGTGTTGAGCTGAAGGTCCTTTCCCCATGAGCTCTGGCAGCAGGGAGCACTGCGGGGGCCCTGTAAGGGAGATGAGTGGCAGCACCCATCACAGCTGTGTTTCCTGCATGAAAGAAAAGCAGAGAGCTTGGGTTAGTGCATGTGGAGGAGTGCAGGAGTTCCACCCGTCCTTCTGTGTGTCCCCTTCTTCCCCAGAATCTCATTGAAGGAATAAACCTGATGCTGTGCTTCTGGTTTAGCATACAGTGTTGGATGCTTCTGCAGTAAGGCTGATAGATGTTTGTTCGTTTGAGTTAAGTAAGGAATCATTGTTCATGCAGTGAGGGCCTTAAAGCTTGTGGCTGCCGAAGCTGCAGCGGTGATGGGAACCTTTTCCCACTCTCCCCCCAAAACCCTCCTGCCAATGTGTGCAGCAACCTGCAGTGCCACATGGGAGCTGCAGCCTGAATCATAACACACTTCTGCAGTGCTCCTTCAGGAGGAGCTTCCTGCAGCCTTTGGCTCAAGTGGCTCCGGGATGCCCTGCACCAGGATGTGCCCCTGGGTATTATGGGATGCAGGAGGTACAGCTGCAGTGGAGCTTATTGGGGTCATGGGTGCAGATAGAGGCTTTGTAGAGGGGGGGTAGGACGTGGCTTATTGATGCCCCTAACAAGCTCTTGGAATCCTCTTGTTCCCTAACTTCAGCCTTTCTTTAAACTCCCATTATCTGTTTCAGAAAAGTTTCTTGGTCAATCTCCCTCCTTCCCTCCTCCCCTGTTTGCTCTTACTTTGCACCTCTGTTTCTTCCTCCCAGATCCCACATCCATATCAATCTCATCTCCCTTGTTGGCACTTTGTCCTGGTTTCGGTCTAATGAACCTTAATTCCTTCCCTCTTGGTATCTGATCAATGGCTGCCTTCATCTGTATACATGTATGTATCCATGTAGCTCCATGGTTCTCACTTCCAGCCTTCAGTGTTCCCCATTTCACTTGTCAGACCCTCCTGCAGCGTTCAACAACTCCCAAAGCAGCTTTCCCTCCATCAGGGCCTTTCAGCAGGCTGTTTTCCATAGCTTGTTTTTGGTTTCTTTTCTTCTCTAAATCAAGGCTGGCATGAGTTAATATGCAGCTGTCCTGCTTTGGGTTCAAGCAGTGTTCAGTAATTTCTCTTAGTCAATTGTGCAGGCATTGCAGGCTGTCTCTTATTCACAATTAGTCAAAAACATTCGCCTCTTTGGTGGTGAAACCCCTGTCCTGTTGCTTAAGAGACGTCCTCAGTAAATGAGAAACTGACTCACGCCAGTGCCAAAATTGAACATAAGTGTGTCTGATAGAAACTCTTACTAAAATAATAAAACAATATTAGCTCCTCTCAAGCTATTATCTTAATAATTACATGGGTGCTGTTGCTGAAACTGGAATGATGGTTTCTGGAAGTTTCTCTGCAATATTCTTGCAATTAAAATATACTAGGATTGTCTTCTGAGTCAACTAATTTATAATGGAAATGAGCTTCTGAAACAGATCTCTGTCTTCTGGGAGCTGATATAGCTGAAATATTCACTGCAGCCTGAGTTGTATCATCTCCGTTTCAACGGCAGCAGGCTGGGAGGCCTTCTGGGTTCAGTGCAGAGTTGGGGCTGTGGAGCGTCACTCATTGCTGAGCTCTGAGCTGGTTTTGTTTCCTGCAGGGAGAGGCACCGTGGAGGGATCGCCCCGGGATTCCAGGTGGTACATCTGAATTCAGTGACTGTGGACAACCGCCTCGACAATCTGCGCCTCGTCCCGTGGGGATGGAAACCCAAAGCTGAAGATCTCTCCAGTAAACAGAGGTGTGCTGATATTTGGCAGGGAGATGCCATTGAATAACACTTGTCAACGTCTTCAGTTGTTTCACCTCTTCTGTTCAGTGGTGTCCATCTTGGCTGAGCCTGTTTGTTTGACTTTGGGCTGTTTATGCATCACTGTTTCAGATTGCTCATCTGAGAAAGACCAGAGTTAGTGCTGACGGTGCTATGGAGGGTCAATCTCTCCCCGTGGCAGTACGTAGAGGTTCTGCTCTGCCAGATGTCACCACAGTAAAGCAGTAAACCTGCTTTCCCTTCTGCTTGAATGGTGGCATTTGGGGGCAGAGTTCAGCCTGCAGTTCTTGCAGGCTTGTAGCTCTCATCCTCAGGCACTGAAGTTCTGACACGGTCTGCAAAAGCCGGGGGCTGCACAATGCTTACATCTGGAATGATGTATTTAGGTTAAAAACGAGTTCCTGGGAACAGCTTCTGTGGGTGTTCACTGCAGGTACTGGGAACTTCCTACACGCCACGTTGCGCTGATGTTACTCAAAGTGCATCAGATCCTTACATCAGGTTGGACTTGTTTCACCTGTGATGGGGGAGGGCAGGAAGGTTCATTT